TTCTACCGTAAACGACGAAAGTACGTAGATCACACCTGCAGATATACTTTATAAGTGTATCTGTATACCTACATAGCTGTTTGAGGTAATCATTCCCCTAGGACACATATATCAATAACGTAACGTCATTTCTCAACGACTGTCACAAATGTGATATTTTTAGCAGTAAGTAGGCCTGCTGATTAGTGCTTTGACCTAGTTCATCTTGAGATGTGATCAAATATTCACGAATACATCGCAGTGTCTTTTAATCACAGCGATAGATCGATTAACGTTAAGTTTCTTTGGCACTGCGTAATTGACTAAAAATAATGGAATATCGCAGAAAAAACTGTACGTATATATTCTCGCATGCCTTTTCCGTGATATCTGTAGAAATTTGTTGAGAAGTATTGCCTTTAAACGAGTTTGCAAAAACTGTAAAAAGATTATGGTGAAATTTTTGGGAAAAACGTAAAATTTCCCCTAGATTGTGAAAATATTTGGGGTTTTATTAATAAATATAAACCGATCTCCCCAGAGTATAATAAGATTCTGAGGAAATTCTCTAGGTTTGGAGAGATTTCGGGGTTTTAGTGCCATTTCCTCAAAGTTTACTATTGCGGCTTCCCCACAATGGGTCAAATTTTCCTCAGATTGGGATGACGTGACTTCCACGCAAGATCTTATAGATTAAGCAGCTACATTATGACAAATCCACAATGTTAGGATTTAGTCTATTATTAGATCAGTACTAATATCATTGTAGACCATAATTCTACAGATGTTCGCCCCGTGATTTCAACTCAGTACGGTTCTCTGGACTCAGCAGCTAAGTGGACAAAGCGATGGTGTTTGAAGCGATCAGTATTAGATTAAAGTTTCGGAGAGATAATCATCTCAGGAATGCAGGTACATTCACCTTACGAGTCCCGAGTACGACGAGAGGCGCGTTTTAGATTCCACTTTTAACCACCTTTCGACTGTCTAGAATGCAATATCTAGGTGATTCTCACATGATGGACCTGAAAATTACCGATACGAATGTGTAGTGAGCTACCTTTATCAAGAGAACGCGGTTGGCGTGATGGAAGCAATTGTTATTACTATAACCAATTGTACCGGTGATTTTTTACTGTACTTGTTTGTTTAACTGTACCAAATCACATACATCCTTCCGTTGATCGTGACCTTGCACGGTTTCGGTTGCGCTCAGTAACCACACCTGTGACCTGGCTCTATCTCGGTATTCTCTCGATACCACGAGATAGCCAACAAATGCATCTCGACTACAGCCATCAACTGCTTTCTGATATTTGGTTGATGGGGGGTCTTATCGGTTAACTGGCACGTAGTCTTCCTGTGATGGTGATCATAGTCAACCGCGACTAGAAATGTATCAGCACTAAAAAAGGTTTATATGGCTATCAATGTTTGCTTCGTATTGATTTCTTTAACAAAACTGAAAGGCTTAGACGTATTATTTGGCTAGCCATAAATTTGCAGTCGATGGTTATAATCACCCCATGTGAAATGATTTGTCGAAACTTAACCAAAAACCGGTTTAACAGAAGGAATAGTTTGAAGATCGCTTTGAAATGTTCTACTAAAAGATATTGTTATTTCTTTCTCTCTGTCTTGTATTTAAACTTTTTACTTATAAATCTTGGGACCATGTTTTATATTTTCTAATGTTTTTGTCTGGACCGTTATCATTTAACCTTAGCAAGGATTTAAAGACTTAATGTAGTATAATGCCGGGTCATAGATAATAAAATCGTAATTTACTGAACTCAGGGTTACAGAATGGTTTAGTTCAGAATTGTTAACCTTTGACCACCTGCTGGAACGGTTATTCGGATCCTTGAAGGTAGATTTTTGACCTTATTTTGTCGTGGATACAATTATTGGTTCTCTGATAATTGATGTCTTTTTATTAACCATACCTTTGGATGTTTACTAAGCTATTTCTTGTACGAGAAACCTTTAACAGTTTGACAAAAATTGTACCGATTGAGGTAGTTTGTATTTTGATTTAAATTGTTTTCCTTGTTAACTTAGAGCCAATTAAATGAGGCAAAGAATTTGTGTTTTGATATAAATTAATAAGAGTGAGACAAACAAATTTTGTACGCTATGCAAAATCGTAGTTTTCTTTAATCGAATAGGGCTCGATTCATAAGTCCTTTGTGTTCAGACCAGATATGAGAATTTTTTTTGCTACAACCTTTTAAATATTGATGAAAGTTGTAAGACATTGTTACACTACATTTGATTGTTTTGATTAATATTGCTATTCCAATTAAAATCATACTAATTTCTGTCGTTATTCTTGCCCACGTAAGTCCTATGACAGAAGTGTAAAAATTCTTTCGATGATGATTTTGAATGTTCTGTACGTAAGCGTGTGTTCATTTGAAAAGCCTTTCCATGGATATGTTTCTTGACTATAACCCTTTATGTTAATCTTGAATGTAAAACTGTTAATTTTAACACCTTAAGTTGAAATTCCGTTGACTTTTAGATATAAATGAGACTGTGATCATTTTCTTTAATTGCAGCATTGATTTTCAGGATATCCCACCTAGTTTATGTGAATTTTACGGTTTAAGTTAGTTTCGTTTGACTTGGCTCCTAATCATGACGGAGGACATCTTTGTTTCCCGAAGTACGATTGTTCTTCTAACTGATCAGTCTGATCTATTCAGAAAGGAGGGAAATAAAGTTTAATCAGCAGGATCACCTTTTCTTTGATAAGTGACAACTTTGTGCCTCTTATTAGTTTATCTATCCAATATATTTCATATTTAATTATTTAGTCCGCTCAAACAACTCTTTAGGCTGTGTAGTTTAGTAGTTCTATTCGTTTATGTGATTTGATGTGACTTATATCAATGAACTATCAAACAATTTTTAAGTAGATGTTGCACAAAATTTCATTTAACTGCTATCGATTGGTTAGAAGTTTTCACGTAAGGTCATCGTCTTTAAATGACGAGAATATGAGAAAAATAAAGTAATGCATATGCACATAATATATAAAAAGAGACAGAGCCACCTAGTGAAGTGGTCTTCAAAATTTCAGAAGACCGGTTCGCCTATGAAAATACTGTGGAAACGACATAATCGGACGATTCTAACATCACAGTACTTTAATAACGATAACTTAAAGGCAAACAAGGAAAAAGGTGTTAAGAGTTGAGAAATTTCAGTTGAATGCAGCGAATGTTTAACCGAGTGACTTCCCCGTTGACCATATCGAAGAGAATGAACTTACACCAATTGTTTTGGGATAAGACGAGAATGCCTGGCTGGAAGCTTTCAACGAGTTGTGTTGGTTTTCACTGACAAGGTCGACATCTATAATCCTCAGAGCTACTTATTTTGTTAAGCCATTCAAAAAGGTATAAATGAACATATTTCTTCGTCGTAGGTAGCCTTTTGAAATGGAAAATGGTATCCTGAAATACGAATCCTGAGAATGATTTGTCCTATAGAAGGCACCAAATTCGCACACAAAACAGTGTGATAACATATGCGCAGCAAAATAGAAAATAACTGACTCCTCGAAATTATGATGAACCATCATATCAGCGTTTCGTTCAGCTATAAAAGTAGTCATATGTTTACAACTCAATGGTTGTAAGAATCCTGTTCGGTATGGTTTATATAAAATTGATAATAGAATGTTATGAAGTAATTTCGTCTGCACACACACATTTGCTACACGCTAAAAAAACGGTTGAAAATACTCAATAGTAAATAATGTATTTCCGTGTTCATCTTGTTTTGCTAATGAGGTATGGCAACTTGGACAGTAGCATATATATGCCTGGTTCTACGTTGTACCAAACTGACTGTATTTTCGTAGACTAAGCCACTTTAATATAGTTACCACTTATTTTGTGCCAACTTTGTCATACCAGTAAACCAGCCTATACTCAGTAATTATTTTCAAAACCTATGACCTCATCAGAATCACTAGTGTTATTCACCATATCAGATAATCAGAAACTTATTTACCTCAAGATACACTCAATTACCTGTTCAACTTGCGCTGTATGTTCAGAGATACGGTTGAAAATGTGAATAAGTTTCCAATTGCTAGGTGGTTACTAAACTATATTGCGAACAAACTTAGGTCGTTTCTGAAAGGAAAGGTTAAAAAAGAATGCTATACTTACGAGACTATATGTAGAATCAATAGGAAACAATGAATCCTAGTCATGCCATGTTGCGCCGGACGTGTTACCTCGGAAGATTGATTAGTGGACGTTAAATTGAATAAATCAGGACCAAAATACATAGATCAACAACATCATTACATTAATAATAGTCCAATTTGATAAAGGATGAGATAAGGTCTCGCAGAAGGAAAACATGCGTGAGCGCTATAATGCACATGATCATATCGCAGCAATCACTCTGTGACTATTGATTTCAATGGTTAATCAACGTAACCTACCATAGTGGAGAAATAACTGGGAGACAATTTCGAAACCATTCACCTCGTAACTTTACTAGGCACGATATTAGTAATTCGCCTGCTGAATAGTAAACGAACTCCATGTTAGTCTAGGACCATGTCTCTAAAGCGAATCATGTCAAAAAACTTGGAAACCGAACTTACGAATATTGCAAGGGAACGAACCTCACACAGCAAATGTTAGTTTCGAGATAATCTGTATAAACCTTAGTTTACGAATGAAATAGACCAAAGTAATGACATACTGCTGTTGATACCATAAAGAATCCCAAACTGTAGTCTTTGGTGTCTCAATCCTAGAACCACAAGTTGAGAGCGAGCGCTGTATCGATATAATGCTGGAAGTGGATATTGAGAACAACAGATACACTTACTTGAGAACGAATACACTTGCATTGTAGAGTTGATGCTTACATCGAACCAAGCTAATGTCATTTTCACCAACAGCACACTCATCATTAGCCGAGTACGTGCCGTGCAACTTCAGGAAGACTCTTATTAGCTAAACGACGAGGAAACAGATAACTTACAAGTCTGGAAAATTGCTTTACGTATATTAGATTTATATCACATACCGATATTGATAATAGCAATTCACATCAATAATATTAGAATTACAACGCTTTTAAGGTGTTTACATATGGTAAAGTACAATAGTTCACTTCATCAACTTGAATAGTATGATTAAGATAGAAGCTCCTATGAAATTAGAAACTTCTCAGTGTAGAAAATAAGCTCGAAAACACATACACAAACACTAAAGGACAAAAAGATGAAGGCGCAATGAAAGTGATTAAAAAAAAGACACTAAGTTAAGTTTTACAAGATTACATGTATATTCAAGGAAATTGACGTGTCTTTGTAGAAATCCAACTTTGAAAAAGACAAATGAGTAATTTTGCGAACAAAAAAATATGAGTTCATTTGTTGTTTTTTTTTAAAATTATAAATGATGAATGAATATAGCCGGAATTGAACCGAAAGCGAAGGCATTGGAAGGGTAGAGGTATAAATACCGGACTAGGATGTGAACCAGATTTATATAAGGTGGATTTGTTTACTCAGGATGCTGTTGTAGTACATTTAGAAGTGAAGTTAAAAGAACTGATATAACAGAGACTGAAAACAATTTTGACAGTAAAATTATTAATGGTAATGAAATGAAACAAAATAACACTTAGTTTGTGATTTATGTAGCTGCCAAAGTTGTAGCACCTTGTGGGGTAGTGTAAATTGTTCTGATTTGTCGATCATTTCCCGATATTGAATGCCCTTCAGGATTCATTCGAATTAAATGGGCACCGTTGATTTCAACTTTGAAAGCTCTTGATACACAGGAATCGACAGAAAAAAGTTGTTCAGAATTGAAATTCTCACCAACTGTAGGTGTTGAAACGTAGATGGGTTCTAGGGGTGCATCATTTACAGCTGTAGTCAATGTTGCAACCGGTTGTTCATGAACCTTGAATGGAAAAAAATGAAAATGATTAGAAATATTGAATATCGAATCATACAAATCTTATGATTTACACTTAATTACTATAATAAACAAATGACTTCTCGATTGCAAATATTTTGATTTGAAAAAGAATAATTGTTGAATAATCCAATAAAGTTGAACATAAAAAAAACTAATACCCTGTGACGGATGACTATGATTTAACAAGCATCTAATCCATGTTGGATACAACTATGAAACACAATTTTAATTCCAGTTAAGTATGAGGACAACCATTTCATATGCAATAACTGTAACAACTTTGTACAATTAGAATAATAAACAAGTGTTTAGTGGATTTAATGATTGGTAAAAATGTAGCACACAAGAAAAAAATGTGTTGATTAACCAGTAGTTAGAAATCAGTTTAACTCCACTGCCTACGCAAAATACTTCAGATCCGTTGACCAGAACACTATCAGCAACAACCTACTCTGAGAGAACAGACCAAATTTCAGAGGAGGAAGAAATCAGGAAGAAGCACTGAAAGTGGATAGGACACACATTGAGGATAGGACCCAACTGTGTCAAAAGGCCAAGTCCTTACATCGAATCCTCAAGGCCAACGGAAGAGAAGAGGAAGACCAAAGAACACACTACACCGAGAAATGGAGACAGATATGAGAAGGATGAACAACAATTGGAGAGAATTAGAAAGGAAGGCTGAGGACAGAGTGAGTTGGAAAATGCTGGTCGACGACCTATGCTTTATTGGGAGTAACAGGCGCAAATAAGTAAGTAAGTAGAAATCAGTTACTGGTAGGATGAAAAAAAACGTGACAATAAACAAAAACTTGGTTCTACATATTTATTGTAGAATTTAAGAAAAATGTGAATTCTCACTTTAGAAATGTAACTTGTACCTGTCTAACTGATACAAAATAAAATTTAGTGAGTATTGTGTGTGTACGAGAAGCGCTACAGAAATTTGGTTGGAAAGTCAGATGGCTTTTTCAGTAGTCACAAGGTACTTGACGCTTAGTGTGGTGTATAGTAATCTATATGTAATCACTGACATAATTTCATCAGTTCATGTAAGATTTCGTGAAAGAAATTTAGATACAAAATAGAAATATATTGAAGTAAACAATAAAAGTATGAAATAGATATGGGACAATATACAATAAAGATTGAGATATTTGGATAGTTATATGAACAATTTTTCCTTATTCTGATTCTAGGGTAGATGAGACTATTAATTATGGACGACCTATGAGCAACGCCAGACTGACCTTAAGTGTGTCCACCTAATGTGAGGAATTAAAATTATGACATCAGTTATAATGTCAAAACTCTATTTATTCGAATGAATGAGTGAATTTCGTGTCAAACTCCAAAACCTGTTATCTTATAAGTGATTGGTTCTTCCATAAATTGTAGTCTCTCCCTAGGGGTATTTACATAATGAAATACAAAATTTCATGTATTTATAAATTTGCTAGTGCATATAACAAAGATACTGAACTACAAAACTGAATAATTCCTTAAAATATTTAGTAACAATTACTCCTGAAGAATAGAATATTCATTAACTGATTGGATTTAATTTACGAATAGGTAGAAATGTCCAGACAGTTCTACTGTACGGAACTGAAACTAAGAGAACTAATACAACCATCATCAAGAAGGTATAAGTATTTATAAATAGCTGTCTACGCAAGATACTCAACATCCATTGGTCAGATACCATCAGCAGCAGTCTACTGTGTGAGAGTCAGTCAGTCAGTAACAACGTAGAACTTCGTACGTACGTACATCAGTTCGAGTTGCCACACCACATTAGCACAGAGATACAGTGGTCGATTCAAATCCCGTAGTGATAGAGGTAATAAGAGTATAAGCAGTAATCGGGAAGATTAGGGTTTGGAGATGTTATTTAAAGAGTATAATCCAGTGAAAGAAATTTGGAAAGAGGAAAAAAGGGACATGAAGAATTCAGAAGATTAGAATTTGGGAGAACACAGAGAGTGGATGCACCTGCGCCATTGCAAACGATTTTGAGCCATGTCATTCAGGGTCTCTAACCATCGGTTGCTATCATCTCGCGGTCCCCAACCACGTAGTCTACACCTACCAACATGACTCAGTTCACTTGTCAGTGACTTCATGGATTTGTGCCATGTTTTGGTTTGGCCGCCCCTAGCTTTCTTCCAACCTACTCCTATACCACTGAACATAGCACGTCGAGGCAGTCGGTCGTAGGGCATACGTAACACGTGTCCCAGCCATCTCAACTGATGAAGTTTCACTACTTCATCAATTGATTTGCCATCCTTACCTAGTACCCGTTTCCTAACAACTGTGTTACTTACTCGATGGTCCCATGATATACGAGCAATGTTTCGAAGACACCTATGATCAAATACTAGTAACCTACGGATATCCTCTACTCTTACCGGCCATGTTTCACTGCCATAAAGTAGGACGGAATGAACTGCTGCGCAGTAAACACGTCCTTTGGTTGATAGACGGATATCTCGCCTACGCCATAAATGACGCAAGTTGGCAAAAGCTAGTCGAGCCTTCTGTATCCGTGCGGAGATTTCGTCACACACCAAACCACAAGGGCTGATGAGACTTCCAAGATAAGTGAAGCGGTCGACACACTCAACTACTTCACTCCCTATCACTAGTTCGGGTGTCGATGTAACCCAATCCTGAATCAACATTTTGCATTTCGAGGGAGAGAACAAACTAGCTTCCAGAGGAATTGGAAATTAGGAAAAGACGATGGAAATGGATAGGATATACATTACGCAAATCATCAAACTGCATCACGAGGCAAGCCCTAACTTGGAATTGTGAAGGGAAGCGGAAGGCCAAAGAACACATTACGTCGGGAAATAGAAGCAGATATGAAAAGGATGAATAACAACTGGAAAGGATTGCCCAGGACAAGGTTGGATGGAGAGTGCTGGTGATCCTCAACGAGGAGTAACAGGCGTAAGTTATTAAAATTTATAGGCATAAGTATCAAGTTCATGTTTCTGACATTAAATCATGAACATTTTAAATGATTAAAAATGATGGAGTGTTTAAATTTTCTAAATGTCAGCCAGTCATAAACAGTTTTTAATCTATTGTCATTTGCATTAATTTAAGGGGTCACAGTTTGCACCAGTACAGTCAGATGAAATTAACAATAACAACAAAAGAAAATGACATAATATAATTAACGGTGAGAACAAGGTTAGAATAAGATATGACTACTAAGTTCAACATTTAGAAGTTAATAAATAATAATAATGATTTGGAACCAAATCAAGTTAATAATTTAAACATACATTAGAATTACTTCACAACCTTTTAAATACAGTCTAAACACAGACTAATGATATGTTTGATTTGTACGATCATAATCTACCACAGTCAACATTCCATTATAATAACCAGCATATCACCCCATGGTAAGTGGTGGTTAGGTTTATGCAACGCTTCATTTATTTAAACACAGACACTGGTACAAGGAGGTACCAAATATATGTGCACCATACTCCATCATTCGGTTTGTGGGAGGGCTGGAATAATGCACGGGCTCCCTATCCCAAGCAGGTGTTTTTCTTTGGGGGCCACATCCCGAGCGTTTGACGTAAAGGCCCAATCCACAAGGTTGTGGAGCAACATCAAAAGATGCAGCCCCATGGTAGTCGGTGACCGACAATAGGTTCCTACGCCGTTTGTTCCATCAGGATCCGAGGCCCCATGTGCACCATTGGTTTGATATCAAGGTTTTCCAACTCCCTTACGTGGATACTTCATATCTATCAACTCAGTTAAGGCGTCGGAAATTCATTTTCGTCCTCTTAATTTCGAAAAAAACATCCCCGCCACGAGAAGGCAGTGACTGTATACGCGTAGCTATGTGAGAGAATTTCAAGAGAAAAAGAGATGAGTCTCCCCTATCCTCGACTGTATCGGGGCATTTGGGGGCCAGAAGTGTGTTTATTACATTGCACCTTCGAAGTGCAAAGTACTTTTACAAAACTGGCAGGACCTTGATTATGCACTCACTCTGGGTAGTGAGCAGATATAAGTAATCGAGAAGTTCGGGTATCTAGGTAGCTGCATAAGTGCTGGTGGTGGCGTGAGTGATGAGGTCAATGCACGTATAGTGAAAACCAGAGCGGCTTATGCCAATCTGGGCTATCTTTGGCGCCTTCGTGATGTTAGTCTGGTTGTAAAAGTTCGGGTCGACAACGCGTCGGTGAGAGTTTTGCTATATACCTGTGGAACCTGGCCTCTGAGTTGAGGATCATCGTTGTCCGAAAGATTGTTGATATCTAATGGCAACACCATATTAGTAATGCAGAGGTTGCCCCCTGAATGCCCTGGTACGGCCGAGAGTGGGGAGAGTCCGCTCTCCCTCTCGAAATACTCTCACACGGCCACGCGTATATAGCCTCTGCCAGGGAAGTCCTACTCATTGCCTTCTCGTGGCGGGGGTGTTGTTTACGAAAATGAGAGGACGAGAAGCGAATGTCCGGCGCTTTAACCGGATTCCAAACCAATGGTGCACATGGGCTCCAGTATCCTGCGGGAACGAATGGCGTATGAACCAATCGTTGGTCACCGGCTACCATGGGACTGCATCTCCTTACGATGCTCCACTGCCTTGTGGGTTAGACCTTTAGGTCAAAGGCTCGGGGAGTGGCCCCCTAAGATAACCACCTGCTTCGGTTTGGGCACCCGGGCAGTATCACAGCCCACACACAAATGATGAACTGTTTATGTCTATGGAAACTACTTTTGTCGCTTTGAAAAACAATCAATTGATTCAAATTATGATCACTTCAATTATTGTCATTATTAATACTAATATTATTATTACTACTATTATTGTCATTATTGTTATTATTATCATTATTATTATTATTTTCCACATTATTCACCTCCTTTTATACTTATACAGCGGCTCGTCTTTGGTGGAATTCCGACTGTATCTAAACGTTCTCGAGTCACTGTCCGGTTGAAAATTGTATGTTACCACCGAATACGAGGACTGAAGCAGTTTTTCTGAAAC